AGCTTCCTCGCGTCTCTTCCCGACCGTAGGGATTGGATTCCCAATTCTGCCCTCACGGCTGCGTTACTTGTGTGCTTGGAGCATCCTAGGATAATTTTCGCTGCTTTCACCTGCGCCGCCTCAAGTTCTTTCACTACCTTCTTATTTCCTTCCCATACTTCTCCGGCGTACTCTAGCGGCGGTACGACTATGGTCGCTGGGGGTGGGTAAAATACAAAAGTTCCCCATGAACGAACGCCACGTGCAACAATCGAAATGTTGAAAGCAGTTGAACCCTCCTGCATGTAAACCCTCCAACCGATCGCTACGTAGTTGCTCAAGCTATGCAGAAGACTGCAAAGTACAAAACAATTCAAGTAAGAACGACACACATCTCTTCGGCATTTTGCAGTAGCACACGGGCGGGCGCGGTTTTGTGGGGGTATATGAAGTGATGTGCGCACTCCCAGGAAGCCACATGCACATAGTAGCAATCGTATGGATCAGCTGGTATGGATATCCTACGTATGCAGAACAGGAGGAGCGAGCGAAATCGGCAGTTTTTCTCGGCCCAAAAAACAAGACAATACCCCACTTGTCCACTAATAAACAAATACAAGTGGAGAACAGGACGGAGAGGGGCCGTCGCGTTTTTCCGCGTTCCATTTTCTTCTTCGCTTCTTCGGTGTGTTGGCGGCGTACGCGCGTACCCAGTGAGGAACATAAACAGGGCAAACCCACCCTCACAAGCCGTCAGAGGAGGAGCTTGAGTGATGTTAGTCCAAGTCATTGGAATTGCAAGATAACGTGATACTACCATCTTGGCTACCATCTTAGACTGGGGAACATGCCTACGTAGGCGTTTTTACCTTTGTATGCCTTAGGCCGAGTCTTACGTCGTGATTATTTTCGGGAGTTGTTTTCTGGGGGGGTCCTTTTCTCAAACCAAACAATTATTTGAGCGTTATTCGCGGAGGAAAATGGCCAATTCCAAACGCCCAAACTCCAAATCGCCGAATATTTCCTAGGATCCCAGCTGCCGAGTTGGAAAATAGGTCCATTTTCAAACAAGCTGGATCGGCTGATATTTTCCAGTTTGGAATTGGGGGGGGTCACCACCTGGTCACACCCCGATCGTGCCAGAACGAGGAACCACACCGTCCGCTGGCCAAACAGAGACCAATATCATGAGGTCATGCACAAACCCTCTGCAGGTAGCTAAAATTCAGGGCGTTCTGCGTCGTGTTGGCCGCGCACGAACCGAAAACGTCAACCCTGCCACATTGCTCTGCTGACGTTCTTGCCTTTCGGCCGAAAAGATCCGTTTTTGCGCCTACTGCATGTGTGACCAGTTGAAAACGCACGCCAGGGAGGGGCCGTTGGCCGTCGACATCCACAAACTGCGGTCAATGGCGTGTGGTCATACTCACAACCTCTGCTCGCGTACCAGAAACAGAGCGTATTGTCCAGTTTTGATTGCACATGGCCTGTATACGTGAATCGAAGTAGGTGTTGTTGCGGTGTTGACTTTTTGGGCTTTTCTCTTGTTCCGCCGCGTGTGTTTGCTCCGTGTGTCGCCCGCCACCAGTCACAACTGCATGCCAGAGAGAGGCCATTGGCCGACGATATCCACAAACAGCAGCCAGTGGCGTGTGGTCATACACATGTGCTCTGCTCGCGTCCCAGAAACAGAGCATGCATATTGTCCAGTTTTGATTGCACACGGCGGTGTTGACTTTTTTTGGATGTTGTATATTTTTTTCTGGTTGCTCCGAGGGTGATCAGTCCACAACGCAGGCCAGAGAGAGGCCTTTGGCCGATGACATTCACAAACTGCAGCCACTGCGTGCGATGATACATATACCCTTAGCAGGCGACCCCAACACAGAGCGCTCGGTGTCTTGTTGGTCGCACACGGGCCAAAACCGTGAACTGAAGCATTTTGTGACCCACCAAAAATCTTGAATCGGCCTTTTTTTTCCCGGAGAATAAACATGCCTCGAGGAACCGTCAGAAGGTCGTTTGGATCCAGATCATGTTTCCCTTGCAGACCACCCCCCTCCTCGAGCGAGAACAAAAAAATACTACTACATCCGAAATAATCACGCAAGACTCGGCCTCAGACTATAATTGCGCGTTGACAACTCCTTCCGTCATGCCAGACCCCCCACGGCAAGCTGGGCACCAAGACGTTTGTTTGCCTACAGACCACACCCGAAGCGCCAGATTCGGCGTGCTCATGAACACACCTGCGATGCCTGTGCCCTGGTCCTAGTGGGGAGCACGCCTGCTGTTGTCACGAAGCCATTGCATGCGGCAAGAAGGGAAACGGAGACGCCGCAGCTCAGGAACGAAGACAGCATGATTGTTGTCGTTGAGGTGGATGGAAAACGGCACGGAACTGTCTGTGATGTCAGGGGTGTACGAAGGACTGTGTCTGGGGTGGGGGCTATAGGGTGGGCTGGGCCTTGAGCGGACTGTGAACTGGGGTGTGGCTCGAAATAGATTTGAGTGCAAGCGCGTGCCCGGCCGAGAATCCAACGGGCGCGATGCAAAAATGCGCCGCATTTTGCGAGCATGTGATTGGCCGAGGTTGGGCCGCGTGGGAAGATCACGTGCCTCCGCCGACTATCCAGGCGGGCCCGCGCGTGCCATGCCATATGGCAGGCTTGGTGCAGCAGGACCCGCCGTGGCAGTTTGACCTTACGAGACCGTCACTTGGGCTGTCACCATGAGCGTAACCAGAGTCATGCTCGTAAGGTGCACGCTGTCTATGCTCCTGGGCGCACATGCCTTCGTCGTACCACAACCGTCGTGCATGATTTCCGCATCCGATCCGCAGTACAGACCTGTTGGGCTCGAAAAGATCGGAAAGCCGGCTCCCCCCTTCGCTACGTTCACATCGTCCAGCTCAAGCGTCGACGCCACGTTCAGAGACCTTGCGAGGATTGTGACTGCCGAGGTAGGAGATTCGATGGAACAGCAGCAGCAGCAGCAGCAGCAGCAGCAGCAGCAGCAGCGGTGCGCAATCGCCGTTGTGTACTTTTCGAAGGAGGACGAGGCTTCCCTCCAGGATCCGATGTGCCGTGTTCTGCAGGACGATGCCGGAGAGATTGAGAGCGCCCTGGCCAGGCTGCATGACAGTCTTCCTTTCGTCGACGACATAGTCGGTGAGGTTCCGTATGCATGTGGATCATCAGTCTTGAGATGGCAGCAAATAGCAGAAAATGCTTTGAGAAGAGAACATACATACATATCGGCAACACGCCTTTCTTTTTGTTCTGGCATTTATTCATCTAGTCTATGCGAACAGCGGTGTACAGCAGTATTTTAAGAAACACAAGAGATTGCAGATTGTTTTCTCGAGACTAGCGCAATAGATGCAACCCATGGTTCATTGTCAAATACCCCCAAGGGGGGGAGAAAACAAACTGTTGTATGAAGACTAGTCAACAACCTACCTACCAGTCGGTCCACACTTTTTTAGTTGATTTGCACACAAACCAGGCCCCTTCGTTCCTTCGTTCGCCACTGCTCGTGGCGGCTCTTCTGCCTGTCTTTGTCCCGTTCTCTCCCCCCCCGCCCCCTGATATATTTCTTCGGTGTATCCAAGGTCGCCAGAAACTCTGCCGCCGATACCTCACATATTATAATAAAGGGAAATAGACACAAGTGGGTATACCAATCCCTTTCTCGGACAAATGTAGGTACTCGAAAATCCAGCGCGCCCGCACTGCATACGCGGCCCCCAAACGACTCAAAACCCCATTCTGACACCAGCGCGACACAGCCAGGGACCATAGACAGCACGGGTATCGATTTTTTCCCACTTTCAGGCACACCTTTGGCCCTAATACCGCCGAGGCGCGCAGGGCCTCATTAGAGTGCCCACTTTTGTCCGACATCGCGGTGGGTATACCCACTGGCGTCAACTATTTTTTTCATGTACCCACTTATGTCTATATTTTGACCCACTTTTGTCCAAATTGTACCTACATTTGTCCACTTATAGACGGCGGAAAATGAGCGGAAATCGACCTCCATGTCACCGCACGGCAGAACATCGGATAGCCTCGGAACGTCTCAGAACCTCCCAACACCGTATCCATGGCATCTTTCGTATCCATGACTGCCGACTGCGGACCGACCGCGGAGGAACAAGTCAGACACATGCCAGGCCCCTTCGGCACCGGCACGGGAGGATACCAGGCACGGGAAGATGCTCGCGTCAAGCCCGGCAAGCAGCGCAATAACGGCAAACGCCACAAATAAATGCGTGACACACAACAGTCAACAAAACCAACCGGCGTGCATACAGACAGAACAAAGAGACGCGCATACAGCAACACCACACACACACAAAAACACCAACCACCACCACGACGAGTGCACACCGACTCGTGAGGGCAGCAGTAGCATGTCGATGCAGTTAACCCTGCAGGGCGCTCGCTCAGGGTCAAGCGCGGGCGCACCTCTGTCAACTGCTGGCGGCGCCATGGTTGAAGGGGCAACTTCTGCGACGGTTAGGTTTTTAAGGGATATCAAGCCGGATTTTCACGTCGTATNCTGTCTCTACGGATATCCCTGTCTCTGTGCGAGTTTGTTTATGTCCTCGTCTGTCTTTGGTTTATTTCGTTTTATTTTGTTTTGTTGTTTTACTGGCACGTACTGCTGACCCTTGGGGTCCTTCCGGAAGGCTACCCTCCAGGCTGGTGGTGCGCACGTTCCACTATTTGTTTATTTATTTATTTGTTTCTGATTCTATTGTTTTCTTGTATTTTATCGCTCTGCTTACCCTTGGGATCCATTTTATTTTGGTATACTTTTTCTAGGTACGTTAGCCTGTGACCACGGAAATTGACCGAGTCAAGTGCTGGATTAGTACGGAGAGATTGAGACAGAAGGAAGTACTGGATAGAGAGACCGGGATGCTTTTTAATGTGAAGACAGCAGCAACAACAACAACAACAACAACAACAATACACAATATGAATATTGAGCATATGAATACCGTATTACTATGATGTTACGTGGCAAACTGCATCGACATGCTGCTGCTGCCCTCACGAATCGGTGTGCACTCGTCGTGGTGGTGGTTGGTGTTTTTGTGTGTGTGGTGTTGCTGTATGCGCGTCTCTTTGTTCTGTCTGTATGCACGCCGGTTGGTTTTGTTGACCGTTGTGTGTCACGCATTTATTTGTGGCGTTTGCCGTTAGTGCGCTGCTTGCCGGGCTTGACGCGAGCATCTTCCCGTGCCTGGTATCCTCCCGTGCCGGTGCCGAAGGGGCCTGGCATGTGTCTGACTTGTTCCTCCGCGGTCGGTCCGCAGTCGGCAGTCATGGATACGAAAGATGCCATGGATACGGTGTTGGGAGGTTCTGAGACGTTCCGAGGCTATCCGATGTTCTGCCGTGCGGTGACATGGAGGTCGATTTCCGCTCATTTTCCGCCGTCTATAAGTGGACAAATGTAGGTACAATTTGGACAAAAGTGGGTCAAAATATAGACATAAGTGGGAACATGAAAAAAATAGTTGACGCCGGTGGGTATACCCACCGCGATGTCGGACAGAAGTGGGCACTCTGGTGAGTGTTAAGGAGGACCCGATTCGCAGAGTATCCGTCGATTTACTTTTACCTGAATCGGTACACCTTCGCACGTGGCGTCAGCCGCAGGATACTGGTTCGATTCTTCTTGGGTGCACACTTTTTCTCCTGACTTGGATATTATCCCATGGACACAATGTGTGTCAGTCCTGAGAAAACTNCGGTGGGTATACCCACCGCGATGTCGGACAGAAGTGGGCACTCTGGTGAGTGTTAAGGAGGACCCGATTCGCAGAGTATCCGTCGATTTACTTTTACCTGAATCGGTACACCTTCGCACGTGGCGTCAGCCGCANACTTTTACCTGAATCGGTACACCTTCGCATGAGGCCCTGCGCGCCTCGGCGGTATTAGGGCCAAAGGTGTGCCTGAAAGTGGGAAAAAATCGATACCCGTGCTGTCTATGGTCCCTGGCTGTGTCGCGCAGGTGTCAGAATGGGGTTTTGAGTCGTTTGGGGGCCGCCTATGCAGTGCGGGCGCGCTGGATTTTCGAGTACCCACATTTATCCGAGAAAGGGGTGGGTATTCCCACTTGTGTCTATTTCCCTATTATAAATCAGTCGAAAGAGACGTCGGTCGTTGTTGTGGATCCCTAGTTGCTGTAGGTTCCCCGAAAAGCCCCTATGCAACATGTGTATGTATGTGCTGCTGGGTGTGTGCCTTAGGAGAGACGTCCACCAATCTGGCATGCACGGGGCGTATCTATTGCAAGTGCCCCCCTCCGCAGTCAGCTCTTCGGTGTGTATGAAAACCGGGGAAGTGCAAGAAGCAGGAACTACATCGTTGTTGACACGAGGAGAAAAAATGAGCAAGTTTCGAGGGCTAGGCTGAACGCACATGCAACACGCTGATTTTGCGCAGCATCGGGTGGAGAATCTCGGAAGACAATGGGTTTTGATGTGCAAGGTATTCGATAAAGTTACAGCATTAGACTAGTCAGCGCTGACTAGTCTATTGGTGTAACTTTATCGAGTACAAGGGAGAATAAGTGTTCTTCGTACGGATGTCTTGGTTATACTGAAACACATAAGAAGTATTTTCTTCATATCCTCTTTGGCTTGGTAGTCCGCAGTTCTCTCGCAAGAGGTGTTACAGGTCGATATTTATCTCTCCAAAGGCCCGTGTCAGCACATACACGCACTACGAGACAAAAAACAGATGGCCACAACGGAATAATGTTTGAAGATCTCCACAGCTTTTGTCAAGCAACTGGAGCGCACAACAGCAGCAGGCCAAGTTGTTGCTGATGTGCCGTATGAGAGTGTCCGATGATGCACTGGGGCGGCGTATACCCAATCCAAGACATCATTAAAGACGTGTCCAAACGAAGTGGTATTCTCGGAGATCTCGAAGGTGACTGCTCTGCGTGAAGAACAGGTATCTAGCGTTTGCGGTGTCCCCCACCCAGCAAGTCAACTTTTTTTATCACCGCCACTCACGTCCCCCCCCCCCCCCCCCCCCCCCCCCCCCCCCCCCCCCCCCCCCCCCC